GAACATGCTTGAGGAATGTAAGTCTTCTCAAGTGAGACACGGACAATTTACTTTATAAACATCCGTCAACAGAGCCTGGCAGATTACGTTAACAGGGAATGGCCGACTGAAGCCAAGCTTCACATACAACAGTGGAAGAAGGGGATGAGAACACTGTTACTCATATAATCACGGGGGCATGGGGGGTGGGGCGGGGAACAGTCTTAAAGCTCTTGCCATCAACTGAATGTTTGTGTCTCCCCAAAATTCCTATGTTGAAACCCAACTCCTCATGTGACGGTATTCGGAGGCGAGGCCTTTGAGGGGTGATGACGTTACGAGGGCTTAGTGCCCTTATAAAACAGATTCCAGAGAGCCAACTCCCTCTGCCGCCATGTGAAGACACGGCAAGAAGACGGCCGTCTATGACCCAGGAAGGGGTCCTCCCAGACACCACATCTGCCGGTGCCTGGATCACGGACCTCCAGCCTCCAGGGCTGTGAGACACAAACTCCTGTGGTCCATAAGCCACCGGGTGGTGATGCTTTGTTACAGCAGCCCGAATGGACTAAGAGAGGCCTCTTTCCTTCTCTTGCCACCTTCACTTGAGAAACAAACTTCAACCAGCTGGGGGGGCTTCTAGTAGCGAGTGTGCTGGTCAGCAGGTTGTGGTTGTAGGCTCGATCGCTTGAGTTAACCGAACCTCTTTGACAGGCGGTGTGTATTTTGGCAAGAGAAGGGGAAAAGCCAGTTCCTTCCCTGGACTGGCACTGGATCCTCCAGGAGTATGTCTGAAAGTCGGCTGCAACGCTAAGAGGGAACTAGGACCCAGTGTAAAGTCAGTGACAGAGACAGAGGCAGCCTGAGGGTAGACTAGGGGTCCAGCACCTAAAGAAGTGACCCCACAATACTATGGGTTCTTTGCTCAACCCTCCAAGGCTGGGCCTCTAAAAGCCCTGCACTAATGACCCACACGGAGCATGGCCCGCTGGCCGCTCGCCCACAGAGGATGCCAATCACGGGCCGACTTCCACATCTGGTTGGAGCTAGAAGTCCAGGGTCAACGTCCCTCTTCCTGTCTCAGCCCAGTTAAAACCTACTGTTTTATCTTCTAAGTCTCTCCCCATCCCGCCCATTCTCGTCCAGCGGAATCACTCTCTTTTTCTCTGGTCCCCCTGGCAGCCCTGTGGCAGTTCTAATGGGCTGGGAAGCTTTGACACCTCAGCACCCCCATAATCCCCACTGAAGCCCCCCCCACCACGACATATACCTCCAGCTGCTACAAATAAACAAATTCAAAGTAAACAACATGGTGTAGTGGAAATGTTGCTTCAAGACAAGTTCTGGAGCTCCAGCTTCCAATCCGATTGTACCCCACGTTCCTCCTAAGTAAAAATTCTTTTGTTGTCACTGCTGCAGCCAGACCACTCTTTTCCAAAAGGAAATCTGATCATTCGTCTTGTTTTCTCACATATGCAACTTACAACCCTTGGATGCTATCAGGGAAAGACAAAACTCCTCAATTACCCGGCTCCCACTCTCTAGCCTCATCCCACACCACATCCCCCATCCTTACCTTTCCCAACCCCCCCACCACAGATTTTCATACTTGCTCTGCCCACAGTCCACACTGGTCTTCCCTCCCTTCGTAGCCCATCCTTCAACAATCAGACAACACACCTCTCCCTCAGGGAAGCCCTCCTCAATTCTTATCAGGTCAAATGCTCCAAAGAGAGGCTCTCACGACACCCGACTCCTTGCGTCCCAGCCATATGCCGTAAGTGTGCTTTACACTGGTTTGTGTGACTGTCAGGTTAATGCCAGGCTCTCCAAGGAGTATGTGCCAGAGGTGGAGGCTCACACCTGGTTTCACTCATCACTACACTGTGGCATCTAGCACAATGCCTGGGACAAGGCAAGTGCTCAGCACATTTGCTGAGTTGGCAAACAGATGAAGTGATGGATGGATGGACAGACAGATAAAGAGACAGACACACAATGGATAGACTGGTGGATGGGTGGGCCGGTAGATGGATGGACAAACAGTTGGGCAGACACATGGATAAAAGGAGGACCAGATGGCGGAAGAGCACATTTGCTCCCACGGCCAGCCCCTCTCCAGACCCCGTAATCTCAACTTTTCCCATCTCCTTGGGTATCGCTCTCCAACAACTATCCTGCCTTTTTTATTGTCAACCCTAAAAATCTCAGACCAATCAGTGACCGTGGGCAAGTTGCCTAGCCTGTGTGAGCTTGATTTTTATTCCCACTGTAAAAATAAGATAATTGTATCTATCTCAATAGGACTGTTTTGAAGGTCACATGAGATAATCCACATACAGTGCAGAGTACAACGCCTGGCACACTGTAAACTCCTGATGGATGTCAGATGCTCCCGTGGTTCTTTTCATCATCCATACTAGTACAAACCCTTCAGCCTTCCTTCAGCATTGCTCCTCCCTGAAAATCCTACTATCACAGCACCAAATGGCTACAAACAGAACCCTACCCTGGCTGACTTCACATGCTCAACACCCGCACCAGGCTTCCCTCTACAACTCTACTGAAACTGTGCTCCTGAAGGTCACCTAACCATCACAGGCCATCCTCTGCTGTGCTAAGATTCACGCAGACCTCTGTGACCTCTGGCCCTGTGTCCCACCCTGCCTTCAGCCCCCCTCCCCAGCTATGGTGCCAAGGTTGGCTCCTGATTTTATCTTCCAAAATTTCTGGCTGTTTCCTGCTCTGAGCCCTTCAGTGTGTCTTTTCCTTGTGCCTCCCCGTAAACGCTGACATAGCGTAAGGTTACACACAGTGTCCACTACTCCACACATTTCCTCTTAACAATGCCGTTATTCCTATAGCAATGCCATCTACTCCCTTCTCTGTGGATGGCACCCACCCCTCCAACACAGGCTGTGCTCTGCGTCCTTCTACTTCCTCAGACTTCCTGAAGGTACCTCAAAGCCAATACTTCCCAAATTAGCCCCATCAATCTGTCCTACTCCCTGCTACCTGATTTCAGTTAACGGCCCCGTCACTGTCCAGGACTAATACTAAAAATCCAGGCTCCTCCCACTAGTCGCCTTCAGAGCCCACCCGTTGCCAAGAATTATTTTCTGGGCCATAGTTCTGTGCCTGGATTATGAGCCCCGGAGGGTGTGTAGCTTGCCTTCCCCTCTCCTTTTTCTAGTCTCCACAAGACACTAGAGAATGCAACAGGAACGGAATAAATAACTTCTCAAACTGAAGAGAGGAGAGATCGTAAAGTAACAGGGAACTCTCGTACACTTCTGGTGGGAGCGTACGTTGGTGCGAGCACATGTTGGTGCGAGCACTTTGGAAGGTGATCTGACAAGATCTAGTAAAGCTGGGCATGATGACACCCCACGACCCAGAACTCCGCTCCCGGGTGTACGCCCCAGAGAAACTTTCCCACGTGTCCACAAGACGACTTGTCCAAGAATCTTCATAACAGCACTGAACACATCACAAGAATGAAAAACAGAAACAACTAAAGGTCCACCGCATCCATCAGGATCCTAGCAGGACATAACTGACATGCTCAACTTAGGATAATTTAATAATTATAATAACTCATTACTAATCAAAACCCTTTAAGGGATTATTTGGGATGGGTTGAGCGTACGGAAACTATAAAGGCCAGTTCAGTAGCCCAAAGATAGAAGAGCAGAGCTGTTGCCACTTCTAGATCTGAAAGGAAGGAGGAGGAAGTGATTACCCAAATCTGGGAAGATTGGCCCCAGCAGAAAGGCCATCTTGGAAGAAGCAGTGACCTTCAAGGGAGTAATTCAGCCAGCCCAAGGCAACCCAACAGGGAGTAAACTGGGGGCATAAATACCCTGACTTTTGCTTCTCCCTCTGATTTCGGTTGGGACCGCCCATTGGCTGAATCCAACGGCAAGCCAGAGGGCACCGGCTGTAACCCGTACAGGTCAACCTCCTGGAGCACAGAGCAGAAGGGAGAGAGTGGACTGGAGAGGCAAATGGAAGACATTCAGCGTATCCAGCAACGGAATATCTAAAATGTATACTCATAGAACAGAACATGGCCCTGCGGGAAAAGGAGTGAACTACAACTACATAAACCAATATGGATAAATCTCGGAAAATATCATGCTGGGCAAAAAAAAAAAAATGTGCAGAGGATGGCACCACATTTTCCAAGATCCACCATAGCTAGCTCTATTTCTGGCCCCACATGCCCTTCCAGAACCCTGCCACTCCCCGACTGACTCAGAGCTGCAAAGAAGGAAAAGAAGGAGGTTTTAGGAGAGACAATGACCGGAGAAACCTACTTGATACAGGGCAGCCAGAGAGAGCAGCTGTCCGAGGAGGGAACTGAACTTTACGTGAGGTGTGAAGGACGGGAAAGAGCCAGACCCAGCAGCACGGCTAACAGCTGCGGGAGCAGAGAAGTGCCAAGGCCCTGGGGAGGGCAAGCCTCTGGCTCTCTCAAATGCAGTTCCAGAAAACCACCGGGGCAGGAGAACCGGGCAAGGGAAAGAACGGCAAGCATGAAGCAAGAAAGGTGAGCACAGGCCAGATCCCGCAGGGCATCCGGGGCGACCTCACGGAGGTGACCAAGCTGGTGAAAGCCTGGGAGGGAATTCGACTCCAGGCAGCAGAGAGCCACAGACGGGGTCAAAGAACCAGGCACAAACTTCCTCTTGACTCGCTGCTGTAGGACTAACACGCGCTCGGCACCTGGCCTTGGCCGGACGCTGGGTTACAGCAATCCTTTTAATCTCTTGAGGCTTCCCCATGAGGTAAGTATGAACAAACCCATTTTTACAGCAAGGCCGATTATCTAAATCCAAAGTCCAAGCGCTAAACCCTCACCTGCCTCCAGGCTGCCCTCCCTCTCTTGTCCTAAAGGGTGGATGACTCATTGTAGTAAATAACCGTGATTATGGAGTATATAACACATCGCGGTGAATGAGCACAATACAAACAACCGCCCTAACACGCACCGCCCGCGCATTGAGAGCCATCAGCACCTCACTGCTGAGATGCCCGTTTTACAGATGGGGAAACTGAGGCCAAGCCTTGCAGAGCCACGTGTCCAAGGCGGAGGGGGAGGGGACGTGGCAGCCGAGGCTAATTGCAGGGCCCACGCTGCTATGAACCAGGCTGTGCTGCCTTCCTCTCTCCTCTCAGGGAAGTTGGGTCCAGCCGGCGAGGCTCCAGGGCGGGATGCCCCGCGGGACACTCCGCTCCACGGCGCCCCCAGGGAGCCCCGCGCGCGGGCGGTACGGCCGCTATCGTGGTCCCCAGCCCCGGGTGCAGGCCCTGAAGGGGTCCGGCGGGAGGCGCGCGCAAGCAGCCCAGGTTCCCCCGGCGGGAGGAAGGTTCCGCAGCCCTGAAGTCATCCCCTCCCCGGGCGCGGGGCCGGCGGTACCTGAGGGAAACGCGTCCAGGGTCCTGCCCCGGGCTCTGTGGAAAACACCCCTAGCCTCCGCAGTCGACATGGCGAGCGAGTCTGGCCTCGCCAGGGGACCCTGCGTGGGAAGGAGGAGCGCGAGTCCACGCAGCCCAACCGTCCGGCCCGGTCTACCCCGCTCGGCGCGGCGCCCTCTGCTCGGGGCGGGTGGGGTCGACCGCTCGGGGCGCCGCTAGTGCTGCCTGGCCGGGGCGGCCGCGGGAGCGGCCCCTCTGGGATCGACTGGGACGCCTGGCGAGTGCAGGCCCCGCTCTGGAGCCACGTGCGCGCGCAGAGGGTGCAGGGCTGGGGCAGCCCTCCCCTAAAAGTGGGGTTGCCAGGGTTACCAGTGAGCGTCCAGGATGCCCTGTTAAACAGGAATTTCAGATAGGCAACGTCTGATGGTTTAAGATAAGTATATCCCATGCAATATATGGGATATACTTATGCTAAAAAAATTTTTTTTTTTTTTTCGTTATCTGAAATTCCACTTTAACTGGGGGCCTGGATTTTAGCTGGGAACCCTACCTTGAGGCCAAAAGGACCAGACCCTGTCTCAGGACAGTCTTCTAAACCACAGCTGTGATCTGTGACACTTGATCCCCAGGCTTTGCAGCTTCCCAGCCAGAATCACCGTCATTCCATTATTATCATTATCCCTCACTAAGCATCACACACCCCTCTAAGTTTTGCATGCAGCTCACTTAATCCACACCACAGCCCTAGAAGATGGTGCCGTCATCAGCCACATTTGTCAGATGGGGAAACTGATGCTCAGAGAGGTGGAGCAGTTTGCACAAGGTGACACACTTCTAGAGGGAAGCTGCAACCCACCCAATCTAGGATCTGTCCAGCAAAAAGCTGTTGCACAGAACTATTAAACTGGCATTTGTCTAGCTTGCTCAAAATACAAATTTCAGGGTGGACCTACTGAATCTAAATCTGCAGGTCTGTTTTTAACTCCCCCAGGAGTTCTTATGATCTGCCAAATTTGGGAAATTCTCTTTTTAACTAGCTGCCTACATCTGGACCCTGTTTGGGTAGCTAAAATGACCAGGATCGCTATCCTCTAATCTTAGGCAAGAGGCAGGAAATCACAGTGGTTATGAACCTAAGTGCCTTGGAGTTCTGGAGTCAGACTGCCTGTTACTAATTGCTGGTGGTACGATCTTGAAAATGACTTCATTTCTCCATGTGTCAGTTTCCTATCTGTTTAATGGGAACAATAGCAGTATCTAGGTCATAGAGTTGCTTAAATGAGTTGGTGCATCAGGGGCCGGGCCCTGGCCGAGTGGTTAAGTTCTCGCACTCTGCTTTGGTGGCCCAGGGTTTCGCCAGTTCGAATCCTGGGTGTGGACATGGCACTGCTCGTCAAGCCACGCTGAGGCGGCGTCCCACATGCCACAACTAGAAGGACCCACAACTAAAAATACACAACCATGTACCTGGGGGGCCTTTGGGAGAAAAAGGAAACATTAAAAAAATTTTAAAAAAAAAGAGTTGGTGCATCAAATTGCTTAAACCAATAGGTCTTACTGCAAATGGTAAGTTCTCAAGGAATATTAGCCATTATTATTAGCATTGTTGCTAATCATTCTATCCCCATTGCCTGCATAAGGCAGGGCCCAGCAGAGGGCTATCAGGAAACGTTCGAGGAGGGAATCAGTAAATGAGAATCCAAAGTCCTGATGGTGGCCTCAAGGCCCTGCAAGTTCCAGGCCTCGCTGACCTCTCACCCACTAACTTTCCAGCCGCAGTCTTTTTCCAGTTCCTTAAATGTGCCAATCCATTTCGCTCTTCGTATGTGCAGTTCCTTCTGCTTAGAATGTTTGTGCTCATTTAAATATCAAGGCCCCTGTTGAGTGGCCAGCCCGGTGGCGCAGCGTTAAGTTAAGTTCACAGGTTCTACTTCAGCTGCCTGGGGTTCGCTGGTTCGGATCTGGGTGTGGACGTGGCACCGCTTGTCAAGCCACGCTGTGGTAGGCATCTCACATATAAAGTAGAGGAGGATGGGCACAAATGTTAGCTCAGAACCAGTCGTCCTCAGCAAAAAAGGGAAGATTGGCAGCAGATGTTAGCTCAGGGCTAATCTTCCTCAAAAATAAATAAATAAATAAATCTCAAGGCCTCTGTTGAAATCACACTTCCCTGGAGGAGCCTTCCCCTCACACTTGCTCATACTCTTCAGGTCTGAACTGGGTCTCCCTCATTCTGTTTACAGGCCTCTGTTCTTGACCTGCACCGCCCTTTGTGCTGCTGGTAATTATGTTTACATGTGTAACTGTTTGTTTCCTGTTATCTTTCTCAATGCAACCGGGAGGTCCATGAGGGCAGCTACCTTGACTGTGTTGTTCATCAAGCAGGGTGTTTGAGGCATAGACTCAAGTGGCTGTTGCATGAATAAATAAATGGATTATGACTATTTTGGCAAGATAACCCCATTTTGAACCCGGGCAGTGGTTGGGCATAGCTCTATTGGCCATGATAGGAACTTCAGAACTACACGGGTGCTACTGGGTGATAGTAATGGCTGTGACTACACCCCGTCTACCACTGGTCCAGCAACTTCTTCGCCTCATTGCCTGCCCCATCCTCTCCTCATCACTGTGCAGGTCAGTGTTCCACTCTCCACTGACTGGGCTCTTTCAACCTACATACTCTTCTTTTCAGCTCTCTGCTTGGCAGACAAGCAGCACAAAAAGAGCATCTTCCTGGGCAGCAGGCTTAGCTGTTCAGTCCACTTCCCAACTGTGTGAACTTCGGGACGTCACTTGATCTTTCTGAGCTCCAGCTTCTTCATCTAAAATGAGATAATCATAGCACCAACCTTGTCTGGTTTTTGTAAGGAGTTGATGAAGCTCCAGACAGAGTTTCTGGATCATACTAAGTGCTTGATACATTTTTGCTGTAGTTGATATTGTTAATATTGTTGTTGTTGGGATACCCATCAACTTATTCTTTTCTAGTCAAAATTCTATTCCTCTTTCAAGATTCTGTTCAGGTGTCACCTATTATATCAGCCAGGTGGCATTTCATAGCAAATAACTAAAAGTCAATTCAAACTGGTTTAATCAGAAAAAAGAAATCCATTGGCATATATAAATTAAAATTCTCAGGCAGCTTCAGGTGAGGTTTGATCCAGCTGTCCATAGGATGTTAAAGAAGCCAACTTCTCTCCCCCTATCCTCCCTGCCTTTTGTATTTGGCTTTATCTTCAGTCTCCACAGAGAGGACTCCCTCTCATCACTTAGAAGCTCCAGGCTCCCCCTTCACGGAAGCAGAATGGCTACAACGGTTCCAGACCACACCCTCATAAGACCCCACCTAGTGGGGAGAAGGAGGAAGTCTGTATTTCTCAGAAGCTCCAGCAAACATCCCTTTGCCTCACCGCCATGCCAGTTTGGATACATGCTCCTCTCTGAAGCAAAGTCAGAAGGGTAAATGGCATGTTTAGACTGACTTAAGCTATAGGGCCGCCCCTGGAGAAGGAGTCGTATCGGTGTCATCCAACCACACACCTGAGGATGGAGAGCATAGTGCTCTTAAAACAAGATCTGGACACCATTGCCCTGAGAAAAGGAGAATGGCTAATTAAAAAAAAAGAGCCAATGGATAATCTTCTACATTCCCCATGCACAAGTGAGGGATGGGAGGGGAGAGCATCTCGACTAGTGATTATCATGCCCCCTCCCCCTCCTTTAAAAAAGCCCTTTTTCTCAGCACTATTCACAATAGCCAAGACATGGAAGCAACCCAAGTACCCTTCGGCTGATGATTGGATAACAAAGATGTGGTATATATACACAATGGAATACTACTCAGCCAGAAAAAGAGACAAATTCATCCCATTTGCAATAACATGGAAGGACCTGGAGGGAATTATGCTAAACGAAATAAGCCACTCTGAGAAAGACAAACACCAGATGATTTCACTCATATGTGGAATATAAACAAATACATGGACAAAGAAAACAGTTCAGTGTTTACCAGGAGAAGGGGGTCGGGTTGGGGGGAGGTGCACAGGGGCTGAAGGGGAGCACCTATGTGGTGACAGATAAGAAATAACGTACAACCGAAATCTCACATCAATGTAAACTATTATGAACTCAATAATAATAATAATAAAAAAGCCCTTTTTCTTCCATCTTACCCCTTGCAACAACTAATCCAAACATGCTCTTATTTAGCGATGTGGGTGTATTTTTAAGAACATCGGTCGTTGCCCTGGGCGGTATTATGGCCTCGCCCGCCCCCCCCCCCCCGACGCAGGCAGAACAATTTGTGCTGACGCTCACAGGCCCTGGGCAGCGGAGCGTTTAGAGTTCCGGCTGCTCCTTAGGGATCTCTGCCTCCTCACCAGCAGGCTGGGAGCCGGCCCTTCTCGCTGTTTCTGGCGTCTGCCTCCAGCAAGTCCTCCCGTTTCTCTACCTCTTCCCTCATTTCCCGTCTGCCCAGCTTTGTGTGAAACCAGACGACAAAGGGTGTTCGGATTAAGAGCCAGGTTAGTTTACAGATTGGAGCCAGTAGACTTGGCCCAAGCACCTGAGGCCTCATTTAGAGAAAGTGCTTGGACTTGACTTCAATGGGCATAGTCCTTCCTAGTTAGACTGAGTGATGGTTAATTTTATGCGTCAACTTGGCTGGCCCCCGGCACCCAGATACTTGGTCAAACACTCTGGATGTTTCGGTGAGGATTTTTTTTTGGATGAGATTTACGTTTAAATCAGTGGACTTTCACGAAAGTCCATAATGTGGGTGGGCCTCGTCCAATCAGTTGAAGGTCTGATAGACGCAAAGATGACCTCCCCCAAGCAAGAGGGAATTCAGCCAGCAGGTGTCCTTTGGATTTGAACTGCAGCATTGGCTCTTCCTGGGTCTCCAGCCTGCTGGTCCACTTGGCAGATTTTGGACTGGCCAGCCTTCCTAATTGCATGAGCCAGTTCCTTAAAATAAATCTCTTTCTAGCTGTCTACACATCCTATTGTAGCTGTTCCTTTGGAGAAACCTGACTAATATAGGCTATCAGAGGTCTTCTTTGGAAGTGTTAGAGTCCCAAGGTTGAGCTCATAATTCAAATTGGTATATTACTCTGGAATGCAGAATGGTATCCTGCCGCAGCACCTTTGTGGTATATGGAAATATGAAAGCACAAGTTAATTCCTAAGCAATATGAGCACCAGCTGCCCCTCCCCTGAGCCAGTCCTGCCCTGAACCTCTTTAGGTGGGACTCAGGAATGTGGACTAGGGGATGGGATGTGGTCGAGGTAAGTCAAGTCCCTGAGGATATTAGTTTTACACATTTGATCTTTGTTTTTTCTTTTTGAGGAAGATTAGCTCTGAGCTAATATCTACTGCCAATCCTCCTCTTTTTGCTGAGGAAGACTGATCCTGAGCTAACATCTGTGCCCATCTTCCTCTACTTTATATGTGGGACACCTACCACAGCATGGCTTGACAAGTGGTGCCATGTCCGCACCCGGGATCCAAACCGGCAAACCCTGGACCACTGAGAATCGGAATGTGCGCACTTAATTGCTGAACCACCGGGCCGGCCCCCTGATCATTTTTTAAAAACTGAAAATAAATAGCTTTGACCAGGTCAAAATGCCATGCGTACTTCAGACCCCCCAAATGAGTGTTTTTTGAAAAAACTTACTGACTTTGCTGCTGTTGTCACAGGCTTGGTATTAACAAGACTTTCACAATTTTTTTCTCCCTTTTCAAGATGTTAGAGAAATTTCTGGAATGTTCCAGGTACACCTATGTCCTCCAACACGAAAGTTAAAGCATGTCCTTGAGACTTCTCAGACACCACTGCCACTCTCTTAGGTGAGTTGTATGGCTTACAAATTTTGCTTTCATTATTAGAAATAAAATATAACTATTATGCATGTTAGCATATATAATTATTCTTTATGAGTGTCTGCCAAGGCTTTCAGGCACATTCTCTCCTTTTATGCCCAAAACACAGTGAAGTTTCACCTCATTTTACAAACAAGATCATAGAGCCTCAAGGCAGCTAAGTAACTTGCCTGGAGTCGTCCCACCGTTTACCCAAAGCGGCAAAGCCAGGGTTCCTCTTTCCACCCTCTTTCTGCCTCTCGTGGTCAGTTTCCATGCCTATTTGGGACTCTTTAGACCTATGTCAGTCTTCATGTTGCCTACCATTTGGCTTTAAGAATTTCTCAAGTCTTGACTTTGAAAACTTGGGCCCGTAGCACATAATCATTTAGAGGCTAGCCTGGTCAGTCACGCGACCTGAATTTAAGCTCGCTTATTCCAATTGCGAGCTCTGTGCCCTTAGACAAGTTACTTAACCTCTCTGAGCTTTGTTTCCCTCACCCATAGGGTGGGGATAATCATGCGTACCCAGAGTTGTTGGCAAGACTCAGTGACATAGAATATTCAAAGTGGGTATCACGGCACATAATAATTGCTCAATAAATTGCTTATTGTTCCTGTGGTTGTCATTATTTCAGATAAGCCTCTTAAGACCTCCCAGCGAGGCAGCACACTGAGGCAGGGAGGGCTTCCTTGACATTCAAAAGCTGGAATGGAGAATTTGAGTTCAAAACCATCCCCACGAAATCTCACGCTGGGGGACGTCCGTTCACGAGCCCCATTTCGTTCAATCAAGCTGACCAGCACAGTTGCTACTAGCCATCTGTGCTACTTCAATTAATCAAAACGAAATAAAATTTAAACGACAGTTTCTCAGTCACACTAGTCGCCTTTCAAGCGCTCAATAGCCACGTGTGGCTCGGGGGACCAGAGTCAGGGAGAAAAAAATACAGGACACACAGTTAAATTTGCATTTCAGATAAAGTATATCCTAACATACTTATACGAAAAAACCATTTGCTGTTTATCTAATATTCAAGTTTAACTGGACGTGCGTATTTTATCCAGCTGGTGGCTACCATATTGGACAGCACAGATGTGGAACATTGCCATCGTTGCGGAAATTTCTACTGGACTGCTTTAGAAACTCAATCAGCAGCAGGTAGCTGATGACCCGTCTGTGACTTCTGTTCTTCTGCCCAGTGGCACGTGATTGGCAGGCAGAGCCAAACAGCCAAGGTACCCCTAACTACCATAATAAAGTTCTTGGCCTTGGAACCAGATAATACTAATTACGCCAATTCTTTTTCATCTCGAAACTTGAATTTAATTTCCTCACTTAGGCTTCTGTTCCCCCATTTATTTTCTTTCCTATCTCCCCTACATTGCTGAACACCCCTTGTAAAAAACCTTCTGGCATGATTGGAGGGGCTCATTCTTACTTTCCAATCTTCGTTTTCTTTTTCTTTCTTTCTTTTTTGCAAGGAAGATTGGCCTTGAGCTAACGTCTGTTGCCAATCTTCCTCTGTTTTATGCAGGATGCTGCCACAGCATGGCTTGAAGAGTGGTGCTAGGGCCGCACCTGGGATCCAAACCTGCGAACCTGGGGCCTCCAAAGCGGAACACGAAAACTTAACCACTACCCCTCTGGGCCAGCCCCAATCTTCATTTTCTTTATCTGAAGAGTGAGCTCAGCCTCCCGAAGCATTTAAATATGTTGCAGTTACTCACTTTGGGTTCTGAAAAATCCTTTTCTCCCTTTCTCAACAAGGATAAAGATTCTCCTTAAAGCTTCAATCCTGGGGCTGGCCCGGTGGTGCAGCAGTTAGGTGTGCACATTCTGCTTCAGCAGCCTGGGGTTCGCCAGTTCGGATCCCGGGTGCGGACATGGCACCGCTTGGCAAGCCATGCTGTGGTAGGCGTCCCACATATAAAGTAGAGGAAGATGGGCATGGATGTTAGCTCAGGGCCAGTCTTCCTCAGCAAAAAAAAAAAAAAAAAAAGAGGAGGATTGGCGGCAGATGTTAGCTCAAGGCTAATCTTCTGGAAAAAAAAAAAGAAAAAAAGCTTCAATCTTCCCAATTCAATTGTGCATTGAGTGTACAATTTAAGCTTCTTCCAAGAAGCTTATTCGCCAAGGCTTCTATCTAATATATCCACTGGAATATGCCAGGCGTCCATAGGACCTGACATATAGGAAGCCCTCACTGAATATGTGTTGAATTGAATTGAATTTGCTTCTCAATTAAACTTACTAGTGTTGAGAGTCCTGAGGGAAGATTTCAAATTCCATTCAGTTTCTCCATGTGCATCGGCACTGGATCTGTTCGCAGTTAATGACGACAACCACAAAATTCTACATCCTTGAAGCCTGCCTCTTGCATCGTGCTCTTCTTTCGTTCATCGTGTCCATGCACAGTAGTGGCAGTTGGTTCCTGGTCCTCTCTGCATGATATTTCTGCCACGGGGGGCTCAGGACCAAATTGAAAGTCATTGATTTCATTGGAAAACACTGTAGACACATGTGGTCCTTCCTCTGCTTTTGTTTTGTTTTTCTCTCCTTGCCCTGCTGGACGCTGTTTGATGGAAAGCCAACCCTGTGTTTGCTAACATCATAACAACGCTTTGTTTCCCACAAGATGGAAGGACTACACACAACTCTGAATGTGACAAGTCTCACTGGTTTCTATCTTCCCAAAGCACAAGCCCGGTTTTCTATTGAGCTAATCTTCTGGAAATAAGGGCTGTTTCCAGAGGCACTCCAACTGCACGATACTGGCTTTTCTCTCTTGGGACTCTGACCACATTAATCTCAACGAGTGGTTCTCAACCCTGGCTGCACATTGCAATCAATCACCCCGGGAGCTTTGCAAGCATTCCCATTCCCAGACTTCACCCAGGAGTTTACAATTGGATAAGTCTTGGGTGAGACCTGAGCATTGGTCTTAAAAATGCCCCAGGTGATTCTGACTTGCAGCTCGGGTGCAGAACTGCCTGTCTAGACTCTACGATGAGGCCAAGGACCTGCGTCGGGGCATCAGCAAGTGAACATTACAGCCTCTGGCTGCAGGTGTGATGAGAGACGTGCAGTAACATTTGCCAAGTCACTGGGCACTGAGAGATGTGCCTTTCAGTACGGGGTCCCATTCAGTTTCACCACAATCCTGAAAGGTTGTACACTGGGTTGAATACTGTCCTCCCAAAATTTATGTCCACTGGGACCTGTGAGCGTGACTTTATTTGGAAATAGGGTCTTTGCTGACGTAATCAAGTTAGTATGTGGTCACGCTAGATTAGGGTGGGCCCTAAATCCAATGACTGGTGACCCCATAAGAAGAGGAGAGGACAGAGATAGGCAGAGAAGAAGGCCATGTGGTGACAGAGGCAGACATTAGAGTGATACAGCTACAAGCCAAGGAACACTAAGGATGGCCGGCACCCACCGGAAGCTGGGAGAGCAGCGAGGAAGGGTTCTTCCCCAGCGCCTTCTAAGGGGGAGGGCCCTGCTGAAACCTTGATTTCGGACTTCCGGCCTCCAGAGCTGACAGAGGATCTATTTCTGCTGTTTTAAGCCACTGAGTTCACGGTACTTTGTTGTGCCAGCCCTGGACACCAGTACAGATTTGTATCATTGCCATTTGACAGATGAGAAAACCGAGGCAGTTTGAAGGCTGCAAAGAAGTCAGACACGGGTCCCGCCACGAGAATTTACACCAGGGCTGCAGGAAAGCATCGCGTGAGGATTGAGAACTTGGGCTCTGGAAAGACAGACCTGGGTAGCATCTCAGCTCCACTGCTTCCTGGCCCTGTGACCTCAGGCAAGTCCCCTGCCTCTCTGAGCCAGTGTCCTCGTCTTCAAAGCAGAATACTCCATAGAGTTTTCGGGAGAATTAAGTCAAGCATTGCAGGAAAAACACCTTGACTTGTTCATGGTCAGCTCTCAACTATGGTACCTGTCATGACTGTCATTATTATTTGTATTAATAATAGATGAAGCTGGCCAGGACGCCTTCAAGAGAAGGAATCAGAACTTCTGATTTTGTGCTAAAGCTTCGTCCCATGATGTGGGCCAATTATCTTTGGTAAACAAAGGCAACTGGAGGAACGAGAGGAGGATTTTGAGCTCCCCCTACAGGTAAGTGTGGGTAACAAACTATGTGAAGAGACAAGAGAGGAAATACATCTGTAGGCGGGAAAAAGACTTGTTAGCTGGGGACAGATTAAGAAGGACATTGAATGCCAGCCAGAGGAGTCATTTTAAGACAGACAGACCAAGGCTCTGGTTGGAAGGAACTGCACATGAAGAGAGCAATTGAAACCTGACCTGGCTAGGTGTAAGGTTCTGGCAGTCAGAATGGAAAAGAAAAAATGAAAGAGAGAGATGCTACGAAAGAGAGGACCTGGTGCCAGAATGAACATGGGGACTCTAAGACAGGAATCAAAGGCTTGGGTTTCTAGCCTGAGAAAATAGCAGGAAAATTGAGTCTGCTCTTAGAAACAGGGAGAGCCAGTTTGGGGAAGAAGAAAAGGATAATGAGTTAGTTTTCGAACAAGCGGAATTCGGAGTAAGGAAACCTGGATTCTGGCTATGGCTGTGCCAGATGTTAGCAATGCATCCATCACATAACCCTTCTGGGCCCCAGTCACTTGATCTTTTAAAAACTGAGGGCACTGCATTAGACCAGAGTAGGCAAACTGGTGGCAGATGTGGTTTGTTTGTTAGACAAATGGTTTTACATTTCAATTAGCTACCCATATTTCACAATTGGGAGATTTCACACAAAGGCCCAGATTTCTGCTTCCAGCAGTTGGCTAAAGCCAAGTGTCAGCTGTGTCCTTTAGACTGGACATGGACATGTTTCCCAGTTTTCCCATAGCCTCCACCATGCCCTATTGTCTTCCTGACACTGGGGCCAAATACCACTTGCCATTTGTCGTCTATACCCAGCCTGCTCCACACATTCCAGTTACCTGCCCGGTCCCCTCTAGGAGTTGAGTTTGAGACTCCTGGATTAGATATTCTCCAAAGTCGCTTTCAGTTCAGTTAGTCTGTGTTTTACCTCCGTATTCAGCTGGAAATACAAGTCCAGTGAGAAGTCAGAATTAGGGGTATAGATTTGGGAGTAGAGGTGATGGTTAAACCCTTGAGCTTCATCACGGGTATAAATGTAGAAAAAGAAGAGTAAACAATCAAGGGCAGGGGCCAGCCCTGTGGTGTAGTGGTCAAGTTTAGTACACTCTGTTTCAGTGGCCTGGGTTCACAGGTTTAGATCCTGGGTGCAGACCTGTACCACTCGTCAGCCATGCTGTGGTGGTGACCCACATACAAAGTGGAGGAAGATGGGCACAGATGTTAGCTCAGGGCTAATCTTCCTCAGCAAAAAATAAAAATAAAAGAAAGAATCAAGGGCAAAGGATATTCATCCATGGTTAAGGATGGTCAAGGAGAAAGATGAAAGTCAATAAAGGAGATGGAAAAGGAGAGTTTAGATGGATGGAGATAGTGCCTGGGGATGGAGACAAAAGAATTCTATAGAAGGAGTAGATGTCAGATAGGTTCCAGGGAGCATAGGTACAATGCAATAACTGACTGATTCAACATCTACAAGTGCTCATTTCATCCTCACAGCAACCGAATAAGTTGGAACTATAATTTTCCCATTTCACAAATGAGGGAATTGAGGTTCTGTAAGTTTAAATAACTTCTCCAAAGTTCTATAGAGTAAGGTGTTTCCCATCAATTCCTAGAAATCTAGAACCACTCGAACAAATCATTCATTTTCAAGAAAGAGCAGTCCTTAAGGACAGAACATAAACCACCAAGGGTTGAGGGTGAAAGAAAACAGGGAAGTAACTGGTGCACATTGTGCGTGTAGAGTAACAGAGCTGAGAAAGATAACCCATGATGGAAGCTTTTGGGTCACCAGTCATTGACCTTACATTGACTTTCTGACTGATCCTTGGGTAATTTCTGAGGGCTCTAGCTTTTTCTCCCCTTTTTGATTGACAATGAATGATATTATCCCATCTCAAAATATCTTTGTGTCATCTGAGTATTTATGTGACTTGTTTTGTGCCACTGGTTCTCCTCTTCTTTCTAACATCATTGTGTCAGTCAGGGTCCAACCAGGAAACAGGGCTCTCCAAGTGTCTACAACAGAGGGGATTTATTGCAGGAGATTCATTAGACATGGGAATCTTTTAATTGCCTGCCACAGCAATTAAAAGCAGAACTAGGACTTGAAGTCAGTCCTTTCAAACTCTAAAGCTCCCCATAGTTAACCACAATGCTCTGCTGCCTTCCCAGCCAGATTAACCTGATTACATCTCAGCAAGATTAATCTGGTTATTCTAATATGGACTCTAGTATTTTTCCAAAGGTATTATCCTTTTAAATTTAGTCTCCCAAGTG